GATTTAACTTTTCCTCATTCTGGCTCGGGTTCTAGACAGGTGAACCTCGTGTTCTAAATTTAAGTACAGGTCTTTTCAATGATATGCCCTACTTTAATTTGGCACACGGACCTCTTAGATCTAACTTAATCCCGTTTCACCTTTGCCTTCCCTTTCTAGTCGATCATCCTGAAGAACCTCGCCATTCGATGAGTTTTTTTTTTTTTTCCTGTTTTAAACGATGCTACTATAGTGACAAAAGATAAATTACAATAGATTCCACCTCTAGGATTTGATTTTTTCGCATTAAAGTCTCCCCCTTTAAGTGTTATTAAAATGTAGATGCGTCGACTAATTCCCTGCATATTTATTAAGTGAGCGTGTAAATTATTATCATAATAAAAAAAATCTGACAAGAAAAATAACTGTGTAACTCCTCTCATATATATAAAAATATATATAATGAATAATTTATATAATTATCATTTACGAAAGACATCTGCGGCCATGTTTGTTTGTATCTCGAACGGGCGTGATGACGATCCTGTAAATTTAGGAGCGCTTTGTTTTGTTTTTTTTCTTTTTCCTTCCTTGCAAACCTCCCACTGTTGCATTTTGCTACGTTGCAATCTATCATTTTCGCTACAAACTTATTGATTCGTCCAACGAAACTCTAGTATTGGGACATTGCCAGTTATCAGTGCCACATTAACTATAATAGTGCCAATTTTCTTCTTCCAGTTTGACAGTTTCGCTGTGTGACTCACTCGCTTTCTAAGTAAACATCACAACTCTTCACAGAAAAGTAAAATAACATCCTAAAAAATAAATTAATCGCGAAAATTTCCATAAAATAAGAAATTTTCGCGCATTGCAAAGCGCGAAATTCAAAATGTTCCATGGTTGCAAGCTCCGGCGGCGGTTAAAAATCCAAAGAAAATGAGATTTAATCGATGAGGGATGTGCCCTAATTTCGTCTAATCGCCATTTTAGCGGGCATACGTGAAGTAATAAGCGCCCCGCAAGTTCTCTCCTCCTTTAATTGCTTCTACCTTCGGTTGGATCTCTCAGAAACTCGAATTTCAATAGAAATTTTCTATTTTTAACTCGTTTTAGAGCCTTAAAATATAAATTAAAGGTTAATATATCGCCTTATTGAACTCGTAAAACGGGTCAGAAATTATAAAGAGTCATAAGCACTAAGATCCAAGGTCAAGATGCCAATTATTGTTAAGGGCATTTAAACTTTCTCCATTGGATTAAGTACAAAGACCATTGGCATAGAAAGTGACTTTTATATCAGAAATAAAAATAATCTCTCGTCTTCCGAAAGATAAAAAAAAAATACTCATAAAAAAAAAGTGGAGTTGCTCGCACCAGGTAAAAACTAACAAAGGAATTTGTTCGTCTTCAAGGTCACCTCCAAACCGAAATCCTGATACCTTCGACCACATGACCCTAATCAACCAATAAGGACATCATCTACACCGGTTATACAATTACCTTACTGAATCGTTGGTAGGGGTGAACTTCCTCCATGTTAAAAAAACCAAGAACGAGAAACAGGTGAATGGTAAGTTGCTGGGGGGTGGAAAAGAGTAGGGGATGGCCGGAAACCTGTCAGACGTAATTTCGAATGACCTTGAACTGACCGTTTTAGTCGAATAGTTTAAAAAGTTATTTTACCAAAAATAATAATAATAATAATAATGAAGATTAAAATGGCATCTACACCATCAAGATCCGATTTCTCTACCAGGGTTTTAAGAATTTTTATTTATTTATTATTATTTTTTTTAATGGTGTCCTTGTAAAGTGTCAATGATACTACGTGTTTTTTTGGGGGGGATAAAAACACATCTCTGGTCAACCTGCCAGTGGCTAAAGTAAGCGCATTTTCATGCTAAGAAAGTCACGTTGTTTTTGTCCTGACAAAGAAACGAGTTTGAAATGTTTTCTCCCGTGTTCTGCGTTCGGTAATCCAAATTTGAGTTCGATTACCGTTGAATTGTCGCGTGCGTTCGACATGTAATAAATGTGTAGAGCGCGGAAACGAAAGGGAGAATCACGAGAAGGTGGCGATGCTCGAATACCCTCGTGTTTTCGCTTCTGTTCTTTGCTATTTTCTACCACAAAATTGGATTTTTTTTTATTTGTTGTTGTTGTTTTTACGCACGAATATGCGTAATTCTGCGATTACCATTTAAGAATTTCGTTCTTTCTGCAATTTTCTACGTTGTTTTCGTGTTTTTCTCGTTATTTTCTATGTAATGCTTTCGAAATTTATAAATAACCCTTATTAAATTCCTCCTTAAAGGGTGTTTCTTTTGTCGTGCCCATCGTGGGTTCGGCCAGACTCATAGTGAGATTTTTTTTTAAAGCTATTTATGCCCTGTGGATGCTAATGGGGCCTTTTTTTTAATGCCTACGTGGGTGTAACCAGGCGGCCGGTTTGCGAAACAGGACCCGACGTATCCGTATCAAACCGCACACGAACTCGAACCCGAACCTTCATCTTCCAGATGGGAGGGCCCACGTATTTATTTGTGTCAGTTATTATATGTATTTATTTATTTATTTTTATTCTTAAAATTAAAGCAGGGAAATTTTATTAGGGCCAACTTAAGGCCTCATATTTTCACGTGTGTCATTATTTGATAGAGGGGAAGGGCCTTTTGTGTGTGATAGCTTAGAGCCGCAGCAAGTCGAGTTTAAGGGAAGGGCCTATCGTATGCGAGAGCTTAGGGCCACGACAAGTCTAAGTCCAGCCTTAATCCAACTAATTTATATCTATTTTTATATTAAATACAAGCTTTTACTTCCCATTTCGTGTAAAATTTTTTACATAATTTACTTTCTCGAGTCTTCCAAAATGCTTAATGCACATTCTTCCATAATCTTCTCCTGTCACAATTGATTAAAACGCCATCCTTTCGACTTTTCATCCTTCATCTTCATCAAACCAAATGATTTAGTCGAAGTAAATAACGTTTCTCTTTACCTAAAATTAAACATTTAAACCTTCTACGCCGAAATTAAGAGGTCAGTTATCTCCAGTGGCCCGTTATAGCTTCGTGGGGCCCGAACAAATTTGGACTAAGGGGCCCCACGTAGTACGATGTTGACTTACTTCGGACATATTTTTGGAAGAAAATGAAATATTTTCTTATAAACGATTGGTTTGAGGCCCCTGTCGGTGGGGGACCCTTAGGATAACTCGCCCAAATTTACTCACGAAAAAAAAAGCCGATTTTTCACAGTTGAAACAGTCGAAATGGACCATGAAATTGCCGAAATTGCATCATTTAAAGTGAATCTTCGCCCCCCCCGGTACAGTTTCCTTATCCGTAAACTAAAGATCAACAACAAACAAACTTCCCCTTACTCAACCCTCAAAAACAAATCGATAAATGGGGTCGAAGTTCACGTGTGTTTAATTATCGAAATTTTGTATTTTTATGATTTTAGACCCCCCCCCTTGGAAGCATAAAATTCGTGTTGTTACGGTCGGAAGTAGTTAGAATCGTTGGCTCGCGAGTGGTTGTAAAGTAAAGATGCCCATTGAACCCCCTACTTCTTGTCTTCTTAGAAGAGTCATAAAGGAAGAACTCGTCAAACTGATACAATTAAATGCTGTGTAAAAATACAAATTAATGATTTATTTTCGGAGGGGGGTTCGTTCTTTTATCATTTGTTATTCGTGTAACGTGCGCCTTATCTGCTGTATAATTCTTATACAAGGTCCAATATTCGAATAATTCACGTTAATTTCGCTCGATAAACGTTTCCAAATGATAAAAATTCCCCACACGCATCTAAACGTTTCGAATTTAAAATAATTCGAATCATTTCTGACGTAATTAATCACGCAATTGTGCATTTTCAAACTTCTTGTGTGACGTTCGAGTCATGTGACGATGTTTAAAAATTCGAATCCAAACGTGACGTATGTGACACGTCATACCGTTTTAAAAAATTCGAATCGAAATGTCATTTATATCTACGGTTCGTTTTTTTTTAATTTGAATCACGTGATTACGTGATTCATTTTTAAAATTTAAATCATAGCTGACGTAGAAATCACACGATTAAATGTTTAAATTCGAATCGCGTGACGTAATGATCGCGTTCTTCGTTTTAAAGTCGAAATGACGTAATACTATGTGATATGATTTAAACATCTTTTAAAGCGAATTAAATATATTTATTAAAATATTATTCTGTTTTTAATATTATATTTTTAATTTTAATTAATATAGAGTTTACGTCATTATTCACTTTCTCGTAAATTTTCTCGTGCTGAGATCACGTGATTTTAATACTTAAAAATTCGTCCTAAATATGGCATAAAATTGTCGTAGAACAATTTTTAAATAATAAAAAAAGATTGTAAAGTCTTAAAATAAACGAAATTTCTCTTAAAGCAACGAGTAATTTTATTGGTTCGTTTTATAATATTTTCAAAATTTGACGTGACGTCATATTCTCGTCACTAAATTTTCATTACCTAAAAAAGAAATTTAATCCGAAGATAGCACTCAATTATTAACTTAAAATGTAATTAAAGATTAATAAATAATTAAATAAAATAAATAAATAAAATTCTTTCCATAATTTTTGAAAATAGTAGTCGTTGGATGCGGGATAGATATTATATATAAATTAAATAATTCAGAATTTTTTTTTAATATCTCACGAACTCAAAAGGTTTAAAAAAAATAACAAACATTATTTATTACGTACAGAAAAATTAAATAAATAAACTTTTAAAAATAAGGGGAAAAAATATATATATAAAAAATTAAAATAAAAAAGTCGTCTGCCGTTTCTCACGTGCACCGCGCTTCAGCACGTGCGAAGTACGCAGGCGCATTTAAAACCTATGACGTCCTAATAACTTTTGATAAAAGAAAATTACGAAACGGAAAGTGAAAAATTCGATGCGAAACGAAATTATTAAAAATGTAATTCGAAAGAAACGGAAATTTTTAAAAACAAAAACGGAAGACGTGCCGAACGAATTTTAAGTTATTCGAATATATTAATAAAGTAGTAACGACAATAACATTAGAAAAAGTAATATTAACGCGGACATAACGAAGTAGTATGGAGGGTGTTAACACGGTTAACTTAACTTGGCGACCACATTGACGTTTGTGTAGCCCAGTCGCCTTAGCGACGGGTCGCTCTCATTATCGAGACAGGTAGGCGGAAGTAGTCTGCAGGAGACAGCGTAACCAATATAAGAGAAGGATGGAGGAAGGCGAGAAGTAGTAAACGTTAAAGATCCTCCGTGTCCCGTTACGGCAGGAGTACGGAGCGATTTTTAAACATATTTCGACCAGTCAAAGGACATTTTGACAATCCGCAATCTTCCCCGCCATCAATAGCAGAGGGCCTATTGTCAATCACACCAAACGGATATTGCGTAGTAGGATAGTAACGCCCCGACGAGCTAGACGACCAATCAGGGAGGGTATATCAGTGTTGGTTTAGAAGTGAACCCTCCCAATTTCACACACAAGGAGTAGATGGAAAGTTAGGGCTACGTATTGCGGGTTTGGTGGCTGAAGTGTGGCTCGTGTGGAGAAGATATGGTGTTATACCGCATGGTATTACTGGTGCACATATAATCAGACAATTTAACACAAAAAAGAAAAAAAATACATATATAATAGTTTTATTTTTATATTAGTTCTATCATTTTTTGTAATACATATAATATATCTTCTGTGATGCCTACTAGTCTATTTACCGATATGGAAAGGAGTGCCGACAGTCTGGTAGAGGACAGGGCACTACAGTTAGCTCTCGAACTATCGATGCTTGGCATGAACAATGAAGCCGATTCGTCGTTTAGTCCAACGTTCGAGTCGGAAACCAGGACGAAGAAGAGCCAAAATACGACAGAGTGCGTACCTGTACCCAGTTCCGAACATGTTGCCGAAATCGTCGGTAGACAAGGTGAGTTGTTCTTTTATTTTTTTCCTATATCTAACACCCCACTCTTTGTTCCTGACATGGCGTAGTTAGTCCCTTTGTGATCCACGCTGGTGTTCTCTTGTGTGCGACGTTCGATGATGACGACGCTTCCTTCCAACTCTTCCTTTATATAGAAATCGTATCGACTTTTAAAATATCCTTTGTATCATTTGCTGGTATTTGCTTATAGTCTTTTCGAGTCATTGACACAAAGGAGGGACTTCGTACCTCGTAACGAAGGTTAGAGATTGTGTGTTGGATACGTGCCTCCATTCGTTTTATTCGTTTGCTGTCGTTACCATCGAGTGTATTCGCGCTTTTTACGCATATAAATCGGGCCGAAAGTAATCGAAAACGGGTACGAGACGGCTATCGACACCATGGCTCTTAATACTGATCAATAACGTACACTGTAGTAGCGCTCCAGAGAGGGCGTGAGTACCTCGACTGAGCCAACGTTTCTTGGCCGATACACTAAAATATTACATCTAGGTTGAAGTTTTTGAGTAATACTCGCGTATCCCTCCCCGGTATGTTTTATCGATGTTCAAATCAAGCAAATTCCCTAAATTTTATGAAATAATGCTACATAATCGTAACCGGCTGCGTCAAGACCGCTGTTGACATGTATGAAGATCGTATAGAGTCGTACGAAACTATGTTATAATTTCGTGTATTACGTGATAAAATATATGTACAATGTAATTTTTGGCCTTTCTAAAATAATCTTATTTTATCGGCGTAATCAAAAATAAACAAAGAGAAAGTGAAGTTCAAGTACAAAGTAGCACATGACCCCGAGACTGAGAGACCTTGACTAATACCAATGGATGCTTTTGAACAACTTACCGAAAAACCGGTTACGTTACTATTTCGCATACTTATTTGTGTATAAGAAAGTTAAATGTAGGGAAAAAAAATCTAAATTAGAAAATTATTATCCGCATTAAGTGTACTTAACTGGTTTAATAAAAGCGAAAAACACCAACTGAAAATCCGGTAACTCTATAGCAACACCTATGTATCACATTCGTAAATGAATATTTGAAGTCGGTGACCGATAGACTCGATAATGGTAATGTTTGTTGTAAGGAAAGCTTTTATCAAACCTGATTCTGAGGTCAGTGTCTGGATGTGAACTCAGACGTTTGATTTATTCACGTGATCCGACGCGCTCACGTGACGTTTTTTTTCCCTTCCCTTCTCCCTCCGCGTAATAAAAATCTAATTCCCTACGTCCCCGTATCTTTTATTGTGTATAGAAGTACGCGTATACGCATCGCACCTCCTTCCTTATCGGGAGTGTAAAAAGCGTGGGCCTCACTTTTACAACCTGGACATGAACTCCCGTTGGTCATTTGCCACTGGGTAGGGCCGCCGGGAGGGATTTTTCGGGGGGCAGAATATCGGATATTTCATTAATTTCTCCTAGACGAATACATTTTGACATCCGTACTATGCGGTTCGTGTTTACCGGTGTTGGTGGCGCGAAATGTGTATTTTTAATGCGTGCTAGGGGGTTGTACACCGTTTGCCATTGTTTATGTTGACAATACCTTGAATTCGTCACCCGGCATCCTCCCCCGTTATCTTTTGTCAACGATCTCTAACGCTCCCCAATGGTGACAAATGACCCTAGCAGATGGATATCTATCCCTCGTCCATCTGGTCAGATTTACACCGGAGCGAGAAATGCATCTGTCGTTTGGGGTTATGTCGTTGCAGATGCCGTTTTCTCCCCCCCATCCGCATTAACCGTGTGACACCTCCCGTATTTTTAAAACCACGCTTTCGAATCCCGAATTTCCTCGCACCGGCGACCGAAATCTCCATTAAAAAGAAGGGGGAAAAAAACCGTTAAAACTTGGCCTTTCCCTCCATTCCCCGCGTTTTTATCACGAGTATATTTTTCTGTCTGCCGCACGCGCTCCGCCATTATTGCCAGTCTCATTGGCAAGTGACGGCGACCTCAGACTTCAATTTGGCTCCGAGCCAATTCTCTGATGTCGATCCACGTGTGGTTGGGTTTGGTCACATGTGCCAAGTCACTGTTCTAATAATGTTGGCTTTGCTTCTCTCCCGGAAGCATTTGCATTCTGATTCATTATTGTATGTATATGCGGTGCATTTTTTTTTTCTTTTCACAAAAATAAAATTTGATACGCGCTTCTTTATTATTTCCATCCCTTTTTTTTTTTTTTTTACTTTTCTTGCACGCAATTATGCGTTCTGCATACGCTAGCAACTTTGTTCTTGCAAAGTTCGTGTAACGTGCAGCTAGGGAGTTGGAGATTTTCGTGGAGATTTTTATCCACTTCTCCTTAAATTAATGGGGATGTATGGGCATTATGGTACTTAGCTCGTGTCGTGATGTGTAATTCGCTTCTATTCCGGCCGTTTACGGTGTTCATTTCGAGTATTTTCTTGTTTATTTCTTGATATAATTCGTGGTGTCACTCACCTCTTCGTCAGACCTTGAGCAACCTTGAAAGATACTATGACATCGAGGATAATAGTGTTGGTAACTCTTGACACGTCAAAGTGTTGAAAGTAACGGTACTTGTATGTAGAGTGTATAAATTCATTATCTAGTGTTATTATTATTATTATTTTGAATAATTGTGGGATGATTGCGGTGTAATTGTGAAGGAATCATTGATTTTTCTTTCTTGTGTTGTTCTTTCAGGCTGCAAGATAAAAGCACTTCGGGCCAAAACTAATACTTACATCAAGACACCAGTACGAGGAGAGGAGCCTGTGTTTGTAGTGACTGGAAGAAAGGAAGATGTGAACGCAGCCAAAAGAGAAATCCTTTCAGCAGCCGAACACTTCAGCCAAATCAGGGCACAGAGAAAGAACAATCTGAACGGATCCCTAACACCTGGACCTAATTCAAACGTGCCAGGACAAACAACGATCCAGGTACGGGTACCGTACAGGGTTGTAGGATTGGTGGTGGGCCCTAAAGGTGCTACCATCAAGAGAATCCAGCAGCAGACCAACACATACATAGTTACACCGAGTCGAGACAAGGAGCCAGTTTTCGAAATCACAGGGATGCCCGAAAACGTGGAGAACGCCCGAAAAGAAATCGAAGCGCACATCGCTATGAGGACTGGAGGAATCATCGACGCTCCAGAGGATCCAGAATATTCATCGGCGGATCCAGCCTACAGTCGAGGGTTAAGCAACGGATTGGTTGGGTCATTGTACAAGACTGCCGATCTGACATCGTACGGATCGTACTCCAGAGACGCGGGTATATTAACACCCAGGACCCAAGAGACCATCTTTGCATTTCCGTCATCCACAAACTCTCCGGGTTCCACGACCACCACAGCAAAACTAGCCGAATTGTACACGGGCAGCTTTCCCGCTAGTTTCGGAACCGGCTACGGCCTGTACGACGTGGACGAAGGTTTAGGAGAATCTCCGACATTCGAGACGCCATTGGTGTCTCTACCACCCGGATCCGTCTGGTCGGATTTCGGCAACAGCCGAAGCCCAACAGGAGGACTTTTCGGCACATCAACGACAACAACCACCGCACTGCGACGGAGCAGTTTGGGCAATACACCTACCACTACACTCAGTGATCCCATACTGCTCGATCATCCACCCGCACGAAGGTTGAGGAGCGATCCATTGACTGGTAGCCTATCCACCCTACCCCCTTTCGCACCTCTATCGAACGGTAATGGTAGTGGGGCGCCAAACGGTATACTCATCAACAGTTTCTCAACGAGTTCCAGCGGTGGCAGCGGTAGCGTTTCCAGCAGTCCAACAGAATCCTTAACTTCTGCTCGGAAATGCAAGAGGGACTGTGTTGTCTGCTTCGAGAGTGAAGTTGTGGCGGCTTTGGTTCCATGTGGTCACAATATGTTCTGTCTGGAGTGTGCCAATAGGATCTGCGAGAAACGGGATCCGGAGTGTCCTGTATGTAGACAACAAGCTACTCAGGCTATTCGTATCTATTCTTAAAACTAAAAAAAAACAAAAAAATTACAAAAAAAAACATATTCATAAAGGGATACGGTCCCACGTTTTAGGATCGATTTACCCCCAAAATCCTTAGGACTATACTCATTCACTTCCCCTATCCAATACATTTTTAACCATCCCGTAGGATCCCATTCGATTCAATCATAACCCGTCCCACAGATTATTACAACGTTAGAGAGGAAAAAAAAAGGATTATAAAAATAATAATAATAAAACTTTAAAAAAATATTACATATATATATATACATACAAAAAAAATAATAATAATAATACAAAGCAAAAAAGTAGTTGTAGCTTTAGATGTTCCTTAAAATAATCTTTACATAATCTCAATAATAATAATAATAAATAAGGTACATTAATAATAATAATAAAATATATATAGGGAAAAAAACCGTTAAAACTTGGCCTTTCCCTCCATTCCCCGCGTTTTTATCACGAGTATATTTTTCTGTCTGCCGCACGCGCTCCGCCATTATTGCCAGTCTCATTGGCAAGTGACGGCGACCTCAGACTTCAATTTGGCTCCGAGCCAATTCTCTGATGTCGATCCACGTGTGGTTGGGTTTGGTCACATGTGCCAAGTCACTGTTCTAATAATGTTGGCTTTGCTTCTCTCCCGGAAGCATTTGCATTCTGATTCATTATTGTATGTATATGCGGTGCATTTTTTTTTTCTTTTCACAAAAATAAAATTTGATACGCGCTTCTTTATTATTTCCATCCCTTTTTTTTTTTTTTTTACTTNTATATATATATATATATATAGACCTATATATATACATATGTACAGGGGTACACATGTATATGTATATATATATATAAGAAATAATAATAAAAGAAATAATTATTATTATAAATTATAATTTAGATCATCAGGTGTGTCTGGTATATCTTCGATATTTCTCCATTCAGGATATGTTCCAAAATAAAATAATCGTTGCCTTATTAGATAAATAAATAAATAAATAATAAAAAAAAAGAATAAAAAAAAATATATACAAATAAAATAAATTAGTTATTGAAACATATATATATGTATTTATTTCTACAAATTTTTTATATAAGAATATATATATATATATATCCTTTGTTCTTTTTTATGTTTTTTTTTTTTTTTTTAATTTATTTTTTAAAAAGAGCAATTCGGTGGTGTTCAGAAACCTGTTCTCTCTCCACGATGTATAGTGAATTCAATCTTATTTCAGGATAGGGTCAATCAGAGCCAGTTCTCAAGATAGATTCAACTCTCAAGATCAAGAGAATATATATAGGATAAAAGAAAAAAAGAAAAAGGAATACAGTTTTGGAATACAAGAAAATCTTCCTAGTGTGTGGTTCAGAATAGGTTTCTGAACAGCTCCCCATTTATTCTGCGGACCACCCTAAAGTGGCAGTTTCTCTTTTTCAATGATCCATGATCAGAAATTGTGAATGCTGCTCAAGCCGCATTATTTAATCAACAGTAGCAAATATATATATATATAAAAAATAAAATAAATAAAAAAATACAAATACAAGAAAGAAATATATATATATATGTATATATACATGTATGTATATGTGTGTGTGTGTGTATATATAAATATATATATATTATTTCTTGAAAAATATTTAATATGAAGAAACCAGCACATGTCAAAGTTTAAATAGAAAAAAAAAAAAAGAAAAAATACATAAACAAAAAGCTCAATGTTTTCCACGTGAAGGGTTGTGTCTCTATGTGGTTTTCTGTTGTCGATCCAACATGGTTTTTCACTTCAAAGTGAACATTTTTGCAAAAAAAAATAAAAAAAAAAAGAGTTCCAAGTTGGAAAAAAATAATAATAATAAAGTTATTCCCCATCTATTTTATTATTCAAGTTTTAAATACCCCAACAAGATTGTATTTTGAAGTTAAATCGCTCTCTGTGTGGATTTGTGTACTTAAAATATATAAAAAAAAAAATAAAATAAATAAGAAAAATAACTACGTACGAGAAAAACTATGTGAATTCTTTTCCCACGTTTAACAGTATATATTATTGTTTATTCTATTTCTCAATCTATTTTCCCTGACCCCCATCCTCTTTGAGCCTCTGTGACCAAAATAATTTTCAAAGAATAAAGTTTACTAGAGTTTATAAACATTCATTGTGGAGTTTTTTCATTACTTAACAGATTACTCGACAATATATATATATAATTTTTTTATACTTTATTTATTATCTGTAAAATGATATATTCGTTTTATCTCTAAAAATGACTCTTTTATAGGTTACTGAGTTCATGTTCTACACTAAACAACCTTTAACTCCGTTTAGAAGCTGGGAAATTAATGTTTAAAAACCACGTGTTTTTTTTCTCTTTAAGTCGTAGTGAAATGGATTAATTTTTTACTTAACACGTGCTTTCATTAATAAAAAAAAAATACGTCAATTAAACGACTCACGCGTCACGCGCTTTCATTAATAAAAAAAAAATATGTCAATTTCTAGTTTTATTATAAACGAGAAAACGTGGTTTAATTACCGTTTAAATTAATACATTTTTTTAAAACTTTTTAAAGCTTGAATAGTAGTTTAATAGTAATTTAAGCATAATTCATCAAAGGGTAGTTATAAAACAATCTGTTTTATCTTCACTCGATTGTGATACAGGGGAGGGAAGATTATAAAAAAAAAAAGAGGGGGAAAAAGAATACTCGACATATAAGAAGTAACGTTACTTATATCAGAAATGGCTTCATAAAAGCAGACGAATTTTCACTAGCCCCCTAAACGGGGCCTCAGAGGGCTTGTCAGCTAAATGCGAAAAAAGAAAATGAGGTTGAAGCCTTGAAAGGAACTTACAACCCCACAGGATGTCAAAAACAGAAACAGAGAGAGGAAAGTAAACTAGTATTAAGCAATATAATTATTGTAACTATCTATAATCGTTGTATATTATTATTATCTGTAATTTTAAATTCGCCTTTTAGTTACATTTTTAAATCGAAAAAAATTACACAATTTTAATCAATTAAAAAAAACACTAATTTCATATATAGTTTTTTTTCTTTTAATATATATAAAATAACACATTAAATTTCGTTTTTATTCTTTGACAATTTGATCAGATGCTTATCAATTTTCCATTCCAGATTTTTCTAAATAAAATATGCTATAATAAATTTTTATTCTAGTATTATCTAATAAGAAAAAATAAATAAATAAATAATAAAAGGTAAATCTAAAGAATTTAATTAAATTTAAGATAATAGGATTATTTTCCAAACTCTGTAAAAGTTATTTTAGATTAGATATAATCTTAAAATAAATATTTTAATTATGCAGTACTATTTTGGAAAATATAATCACGTGTTTATTTTCAAAATAAGTCTTTTTTTAACTCAAAAAAAAACCAACACGATTTTATTTATTAAATGATTCTTTTAGATGAGATAAGAGGATCGGTTAATAAGACAAATGCCCTTTTTTTTCCTCGGCTAAAAAGCATAAAAACATACAAGAATAATTAATTTTAATGAAATTTGGCGTGTATATAAATAAAAAAAAAGTATATAATAAATTAATTTTTAAAGATATCGCGTTGTTTTTATGTTAATTATTATATAATTTTAAATACAGTTGACCCCCTATAACACTGTTAATTTTTCCGTTTTATATGAATTCCATGTTGTACGAGTCACTTAGATTTTACAAATACGTGAGCTGTTCACAGCCTGGCACACTTATTTGTAAAATCCAAGTGACTCGTACAACATGGAATTCATATAAAACGGAANAATCTTTCCTTTTTTTTTCTTTCTTTTTTAAAGATTTGTTTTCGTGTGTTCATCTTAGCTCCATTCTCTATTACGGGTGAATGTATTTTTAAGAGTAAAGAGTTGCCAAAAATGTTCGAGGGTGGCAGGATTCTTAGTCCTCTGCCATGTTTAAAGATGATGCAGTTTCCATAGTTACCAGAATAATGTTTAAAAGAAAGAAATGTGGGAGGGGAGAAGATAGAAGAAGATGCCAAAAATCATAAATTTATGGAAAATTAAAAAGAGAGAATAAGAATCAAATAACATGAAAATTAAATTTTTCTTATCTGGAAAAGGAGGGAGAAAAGTCGATAAAATTTCTAGAATTCTTTATAAATTTAAAATAAAATTTATTTCGTATTTTTTAAAAATATTTTTTAGGGAATTTTTTAAAAAATATTTTCCCCTTAATTATTAACATTAATTTAAATTTTATTCAAATTTATAAAGTTTTTAAAATTGTTATTTAATTATTTAAAATTAAAATAAAATTAAAAAATTAATTTTTTTAAAGAAAAAAAAAATGTCACGCGCAAACGACTTGTTTCTATAAATAGAAACACGCGACAAACGGCGCCAGACACGTGAACGTCTGCTCGTGATTCTTTCAAGGTTGTTTATCCGCGTGCGTTACTATAACAACCGCGCGCGCGTTTACGTTAACAGCGTGCATTCGAATTCAAATGTTTTTTAAAAAAAATCGTTAAGCTCGAACAATTCTCGAACGCTCTTCGAGCAAATTTCCGAACGCCGTTAATTAACAAAATAAGTTATTATTATTATTATTTTTTTAATTGAATGAAAATTAATCTTAAATTAAAATGGGTAAAAAGTACATTTAAAACACGAAAAAATATTTAATTAAAACGTAATAATTTAGGAACAATTCCGGAAAGAATCCTAGAACTCATTTACGAACGCAGCACTTTGAATAATTAATTAAATAAATTAGTAGCGATTAATATATTTAAAAATCCAATAAAATTTTCGAATAAAACAAGAATAAATTTTAAATAAGTGCTTTGAATCGCGTTTCCGAACGCAAAATGGTTAAGTAGTAAGCGGAAATAATGAAGTTAAATGGTGTAAAAATGCCTTTTTTTTTTATTGTGTTAAATCGTGAAAATTTGTAGAAAAATATATATTAAAAAATGGTATATTAAGCTTATAAATAGCCTAATATTTTTAATATTTTTATGGATTTTTATGAACTTTACATGGATTAT